TCCTCCACCTAAGGAGACCTTCCCCCTGCCCTTCCTCCTTCCCCATGCCCTCTGCCCTTCCTGCTTCCCCCTCTGCCCTTCCTGCTTCCCCCTGCCCTTCCTGCTTCCCCCTGCCCTTCCTGCTTCCCCCTGCCCTTCCTCCTTCCTCCTGCCCTTCCTCCTTCCCCCTGCTCTTCCTCCTTCCCCTTCCCCCTGCCCTTCGGCCCGACCTTCCCCCTGCCCTTCCTCCTTCCCCCTGCCCTCTGCCCGTATCCTCGGGCTCGCGGCCGGGGCCTACCCACGTGGCCGAGCCAGACCGCAGTCTGACTCGATCCCGTCTCGCTCGCCTTCCAGCTGCCGCTGCCGCTGCTGCTCTCTTTCATATTTGTTGTTGTTGTTCTCTCTCTCTCTCTCTCTCTCTCCTCTCTTGGGTCATCGACCTGTAGACAACACGGGGAAACAAATCCCATCTCCTCCTTTGCCTCTGGGACTCTGTCCCTCCAGCCCCTCATCCTCATACCTCTTTTCTTGTGCATTCGTGCTGCCACTTCCGCTGCCTCTCCCCTCCCCGACCCTTCTCCAATCCCCTCCCTGGCAGGGCAGAATAACCCCCCTCATCATAAGCACCCCTACAAAGCAAGCTCTTTGGTATACGCACCCATGAGGAGCGCGCGATGACGGTCCAGCGGGACCGGCCCTAGGAGGGCGGCGCGGGGGGGCCGGAGCCCTCAGTAGTCGGCCTGGGACTGGCGGTCGATCTGGTTGAAAGCGGTGTGAAACGTAAGAACTGTTGGGCGTCTGGTGTACTCTGGAGTCCAATGGGTGGAGGTGAGAGTGATAGGTCGGATAAATGGGCGTGGGAGTGGAAAGTCGGATGCTGGAGGTCGATAGGTGGAGGTGGCGATGGAAAGTCGGATGCTGCAGGTTGGAGGTCGGAGTGCTGAGATGGTGGTCGCTGGAAGTCGATAGGTGGAGGTGGAAGTGGGAAAATCGGATGCTGGCGGCTGGAGGTCGGAGTGCTGACATGGTGGACGCTGGAGGTCGATTGGCGGAAGTGGAGGTGGAAATTCGGATGCTGGAGGCCGGAGGTCGGAGTGTTGATCTTGTGGACGCTGGAGGTCGATAGGTGGGGGTGAACGTGGAAAGTCGGATGATGGAGGCTGGAGATCGGAGTGCTGAGCTGGTGGACGCTGGAGGTCGATAGGTGGAGGTGGAGGTGGGAAGTCGGATGCTGGAGGCTTGATGTCACTGTGTTGAGCTGGCGGAGCCTGAATGTCGATAAGTGGATGTAGGACTGCAGAGTCGGATGTCCGACGGCGGATGTCGGAGTGCCGATTTGGTGGAGGCTGGAGGTAGATAGGTGGAGGTGCGAATGGAAGTCGGATGCTGGGTGATGGAAGTCGGAATGTGGAGCCGCCAGAGACAGACGGTCGATAGGTTGGAGGCTGGAGGTCGGGGGGCTGAGCTTGCGGGGTCTGGGGCGCGATGCGAGGAGGTAGTAATGAAGAGTCAAATGCTTGATGCTGGAGGTCGGAGCGCTGAGCAAGTGGAGGTCAGAGGTCGATCGGTGGAGGTGGGAGTGGACGTCATGAGCGGATGGGGGCGGGAATGCGTAATCGGAGGGTGGAGGTAGGTATTTGTGGGCGGGCATTCGTGTCCAGCCTGTTGTGGACCATCTGCACGACGGAACCAGAGTTGGAGCCGAAGAAGACGAAGCCAGAGAACGTGATGATAATGAATTCGTCGTCGCAACAGATCGGCACGCACATGTGAACAAACAAAAACGGCTATCTGTTGGTATGAATCGTCACCCGTCGGTGTGGACGCAAGTGCCCGAGTCCATATAACGACGCATGTGCTGTAATAAACATTGTCCATGATTGTCCAACCATGTCTGATTCTGTGCCAAGTCCCACCACTGTGTTTCGCCGTCGTTACTATGAGCGCTACGTAAATAAGATACTGTGCCGTCTTCCCAAGAGTTTTGTTGCCCTCCGTGTCTGCGAAAAGCTGGTCGTGAGTCGTGTACGCTGGGGTCCAGGTCGCACTCAGACGAGTCCATCTCTCAATGTCGTGGTTGGCGATTCGTGCTGCAAACTTCCACTTGCGCTTGAAATATACATCTGTCCATTCATCGACCCGTGCACGCTTCGCAAGCGCCACAGCGGTGGATGTACTTATTCGTAGGAAGTGGATCCACGATTCCATGCCGTCGTCGTCGTTATCTTCGCTGTGGTTTTGGCTGCGTTGCTCGGTGCAGGCGTCGGTGCTGGTGCCAACGCTGGTGTCGGTGTTGTTGCTCTCGGTGGTGGTGGTGATGCTGCTGCCGGCATCAATTGTCTGTCTGCTTTGCTCAGTCGAGGTTCGTCTCCCCGGCGCCCCAATGACAAATCTCAGCATTTTCCGCTGCGTCCGTCGCAGAGTGATAAGCATGTCTTTTGTCCAGGTCCAAGATGAGCATGCGTACATGACACAAGGTTCGATGGTGCCCTTGAAGAGCTTCAATCTGCCGTGTAATGGGAACCGTTTGCTTGTGAGTTCGTGTCGCAATTGGTTGAACTTCGCCCATCCGTTGGCGAGCCTGTTCCGTAACTCTGTGTCGTGGAACTCGTGAAACGTCAATCTTCTTCCCAAATGCGTTGTATTCTGGTCTTTTGGTAGTATGCCGATCTGACCACCGATCAAAGCAATAATGTTTCGTAAACGCCCAAGACTGACCAGTAAACGCTACAAACAGGCTGCCGATCCACTCGTCACTCTGCTCAGCGTTGGAGTCTGAGTTGGTAAATGGAGCGATACGAGCTTCTCAATGCAACGATACCCCCATGAAACGATGCCAACGTATGGTATGTGACTGGGGAATCGATCAGCTATCCTGCCGCGGGACCATCATCGCCCCTTTCGTCCTGGGTGAAGCGAAGACGCTGGCGCGGAAGAACGGGGAACGGAAGAACAAAAAAAAAAAACACCGTAACCTGAAATAGCCCGCCGACCAATATGCAATAGGCGAGCCAACACGCGTAGACAAGGACTGGGGCAACTTTTTGTTTGGTCGCGGCCGCGAGCGAAGAACGCAGGCGGCGAACAGGGTGTCCGGGCCGACGGGCAAGCCTGATTAGCTACTGGGCGCAGCGCAAGCCGGCCGGGCCAGCTCACAAGGTGGCAGCTGGGGCAGCTGGGCGGGGGCTGGCTGGCTGAACTGGAACGCCCAGGGAAGCGCGAGCAACGTGCAGCCCTGAGCAAAATGCCAGGGAATTCTGTGTTACGCGCTGCGGCGTCAGACCACTCACACCACGGGGAACGTGCATTCAGTCCACCACGGTGAGGGTGCTGTCGGGACAGGCAGAGGGTGGCCTGCACGTACACTCCTCCCAGACACAGCAGTGGGGAAAGGCAAGGTACACACTGGTCATGTCGCCAGGGGGCGCTAAGGGCCAGGGCCGTGTCGACGGCGTACACCTGCCTGGGCTCGGCTGGGACGGAACGAGGACGGAAACACAGCAAGGACTGGGGCAACGGGCGCGCGCGAAAATTTCTGCAGCCGATAGGGCGTTCCTTGGCAAACTTACTAGTCCAACGCGAGAGGAAACAGGAGACGGAGTAGGGGGAGAAGGCAGGAGGAGGAGGAGGAGGAGGAGGAGGAAGGGGGTGAGAGGGAGGAGGAAAAAGGCAGGAGGAGGAGGAGGAGGAGGAGGAGGAGGAGGAGGGGGCCACAGAAAACTGCAGGCTCCCGCCGAGCGCACTGCGGCAGGAGGACGCTCCACGACCTCGAGCCGTCCAGCCGGCGATCGCCAGCACAGGGACGCCACGAACCGGTGGAGGCAGGAGGACGAGGGAGAGAATAAACAAGGGCTTCCAACTTCGCGCTTCGCGCTGCGCGAAGCGCGAATAACTTCGCGCTCTCGCGCCGCGACTCCCAAAGGGAGAAAAGGAAGACGAGGAGGAGGGGGAGAAGGAACGAGGACCGCGAAGCGCGAATAACTTCGCGCCCTCGTGGAAGCCCTTGATAAAGGGGCCCTGGGATACACAAATAAACACACACACAAATAAATAGATACCCCATATTTTCCCATCTTTTCTGTGTTTTTGTCTTCCCCCCCACTTCCCATATTTTCCCATATTTTCTTCTGGGGAATCGACGATTAATTGTGTCTGTGTGTTTTTTTCCCTCCTGAGAGGAACGAGCAGCGCGGGTGACGGGTGCCATGCTGTGCGAATCCCCTGGGGTCCCACCGTCCACCTCCGTAACATCGAGCGCAGCGGCGCAGAGGGAGGGATGGAGACAGAGGAGATACTCCGAGCAGGAGATCGACTACAGAATTGCCTTGCCCCGAACTTGCTTTGTTTCGTCGCATGCACGGGGAAACAAGGCTCACACTGCTCGTACATGTACTGACCTTTTACGTCTTTTTTGGGTAGAGCCCACGAACGTGCCAATTCTGGGGTACATCATTCTGTAGCCAACCTCCTACTCGAATGCTGGCCGCCTCGACTCAGAACCTTCAAGTGAGCATGTACGGTCGGACCCAGGACGGAAGAAGACCCTGCAGGAGCAAGATGCCCTCCGCCGGCAGGAGCACCCCAGACCAGAAGGTCACTCGAGGGCCCCCCCCCAGGATGCACAATGACATCCAACAGAAAACGAAGAACACTCACATCCAACACTTACATCCACCAGTCACAAGGTGGCGAGGCGCTCGAGGCAGGCGAAACCCACACCCAACAACCAGTCCACGTCCAACAGCCCATCCACATCCAACAATCACACCCAACAGGGTCACTCGAGGGTACCCTTCAATCAATGCGCGATTCGATTATCGAAATCCAACGATAGTCTAACGATTTTACCCTCGGGGGTCACGATAATCCAGCGATTTCGTTAATCGATGCGCGATTAACGAAATCGCTGGATTATCTGAAAAATCGTTAATTAGCGTTTGGAAGAGGGTCCGCCAGAAATCGATGCGCGGGCGCGAGCGAATGAGAATCCAGCGAGAATCCAATCGAGGGTGTGGCGCGACCTGCGGGCCGCCGTTCACGACCAGCGCAGACGCGACGGCGCCAGTGCTTCGGCGCGGTGGCCGCCCCGAGAGGCCGAACTCCTCGCCCCGCCACCACGATGGGGAGAAGAGGGGGAGGGGAGGAGGGGGGAGCAGGGGGGGAGGAAGGAGGAGCAGGGGAGAAGGAGGGAGAAGGAGGGGAGGAGGGGATGGGGGAGGTGGAGGGCGAGGAGGGAGGAGGGGAGGAGGGCGAGGAGGGAGGAGGGGAGGAGGGCGAGGACGAGGGGAGGAGAAAGAGGGGAAGAGGGGGAGGAGAGCGAGGGCAAAGGGAGGGGGGAAGCAGCACGCCAGTTCCGCCCGCGACGCCGCGGGGACGCGCCGCGGCCAGGGCAGGCCGGCGCAGGGGTGTCTGCGCGGGCAGGCGCGGCGAGCGGCAGACGCCGGCGGCGGGGGGTCGGGGTACTGCTGCGCTCCTTGGCTCCTTCCAGCCGCCCCTTCCCTCCCGCGCTCACGCCCACGCCCGCGCCCGCGCCCGCGCCCGCGCCCGCGTCCACACTCACACCCACCCCCTCCCCATCGAATAGAAGCATCGGCGGTGGCAGGGCGTGCCAAGGAGAAGGGGGGGGGGACAGAACTGCGCAGCGGCTGCAGCGAGGCGGCAAAGATTGCACCGAAGCTCCGTGCGCCTCACCAACGCCCAGCCGAAACTTGATCATGCCCTTGTCGAAGCGCTGACCTTTGGATCGCCCTACTCTCTCTCTCTCTCTCTCTCCCTCATCTCTCTCGGAATAGAATGGAGGAGGAGGAGGAGGAGGGCAAGAGATCGGATCTAGTCTTTGCCACACGCGACACGCTTCCTGCAAAACCAAGCGGGAGGAGGAGGGAGGAGGGAGGAGCAGGAGGAGGAGAAGGAGGAGGAGGACCAATGTAAACCCAAGAGTCATCAACGATGTTGGAATAAACCCTCCCTCCAAGCTCCCTTTTCATAGGCCCTTACCACGGTTCATTTCCACTGAGGGAACTCCTCGTTGAAGACAACCGTTTGAAGACCCTGAAGCATGCCCAAACATTGTTCTCGGGATTCCAACGCCACAGAACAACCTGACTGTTGCGTCTTGATGATCCTGAATCGTGCCAGAACGGACTTCAACACGCTGACCATGGAAATACGTGAACTTCTTGTATTCTTTAGCACAAAAAAAACGACTGCGCGCGGCGTTAAGGCGAGAACCACATTTTGAAAAAGAACAACCCTCACTCCGTGAAACTCTTGCAACTGTTAAGGCGAGAACCACATATTTTGAAAACCACTCGCCCTCAATCCGTGAAACTCTTGCACTTTTTAAACGAATGTGCGCGGCGCTAAGGCGAGAGCGACATTTTGAAAACGACCCGCCCTCCATCTGTGAAACTGTTGCCAATGTTTAAGCTTCAGGGTTATACGTTTTGAGGAAGTCTCAGGCGAAGCGCCCAGACCGCCTTAAAAACTGGCCTCGGGGTGTGACAGGGAAGATTTGTTTATAAGGAAAAGGAATGGAGGAGAAGGAGGAGGAGGAGGAGGAGGAGGGAGGGAGGGAGGGAGGGAGGGAGGAGGGAGGAGGGAGGGAGGAGGGAGGAGGGAGGGAGGAGGAGGAGGAGGAGGAGGAGGAGGAGGAGGAGGAGAGGTCATGATGATGATGATGATGATGATGATGATGATGATGATGATGATGATGATGATGATGATGATGATGATGATGATGATGATGCTGATGCTGATGATGATGATGATGATGATGATGATGATGATGATGATGATGGTGGTGGTGATGAGGAGGAGGAGGAGGAGGTTGAGGAGGAGGAGGAGGAGGAGGAGGAGGAGGAGGAGGGTGGAGGAAGGATCTCGCCCTCTTTCTGCCCACTTCTCCCTGCCCTCTCGTTCTCTTTCCTCTGCCTGACGCCGTAACGGCTGGAATGACGGGGCCGCCCAGCACGCCAGAGGCTGCCACGCGAGCCGAACTCTTAGCGCGAGCGCGCCTCAGGAAGCGGGACAAGGACAACGACGAGCGGCGATGTACGTCCGAGGGGGCGGCCCTCTAAGAGCTCGGCGGGGGCGCCGGAGCGTCGAAACTCAGATGCCGTCGAAACTAGTACATCATTGGTTCCACTGATGTGGTCTTTCCCAGACGCGGAGCGTGGGAGTCGACGGGAGCCTGCTCCCAGCTCCCTCCCTACCTCCTCGCTGGAGCCCCCTGCCCTCGCCCTTTCTGAGGGGCCAGGGGCACCTTTAGCAACCCCCGATCGGGCTGCTGAGGGAGTCCCACGGATCCCTGTGGAACAGAGGGGGGAAGCGGAGCGGGCGGGGGGTGCGGCAAGTGCACGCCGTGCTGACGCGGGCGTCTGCTCCTGACGCTGCGCGGACCGCCCAACGAGGCACGAGCGCCGTTTCCCAGCAGCCGAGACCACTCCACAAATACTGTAGCCAGAGTCAGTCGATGATCCGCAGAACGTGTGCTAGGGCCAGCGTGTGCTTGTCCATCGAAGCCCTTCACTACAACGACACGGCCGGTGCAAGGAGGTCCGACGCAGGCTGCGTGATATCGGTGGAGCTGGGCAGGGTACACACATTGGGCCAACCCCCCACATCCTGAGGATCATCAATTTAGACAGCTGGCGAAGCTCACCCTTGAAGCTGGTGGCGTCGCCACCCCGCCAGCGCGGCGCGAACGCGCCTTCCGCAGCACAGCTCCCCCAACTTTGGAGGTTGCGAAAGGTGGCCATGGTCATGGCCCACGGTGCCCCCGCCGTGACGCGGCAACGTCTGAACCCATCGGGCTCCCGAGACACCGCGAGGGATGCCCTCTGGAGGCCATGCGGGCCTCCGTGGGAGAAGCCGGGGTCACCCTGGGCAAGGGCCCACATCCGTTCGAAAGCACTCCCCGGGCCCCTCATCAAGTCCATGCTGGCAGCTTTTCGCACCGGGTCGGTTGCTGACGGTGCCGTGGCCCGAGGCGGGCCTGCAGAACTCGAGAGCGGCGGCAGAAACATATCTTTGAACCTCGAGCCTCGGCGCTGCTTCCCCCTCGAGGTTTCTGGACGTCTCCAGAGGCGCTCAGAAGGCCCAAAGCGCTGAAACAAATGCTGGGATCTCGAGCCTCGAGCCTCCTCCTCCCCCCCCTGGTCCCCGTGCCCCTCCTCCTCCCACTCCCCCGTCCGAATCTCCAGTCCAATTGTGAACGTTTTTTATTCGGCATTTCGACATTGAGCGGAAGGGGGGGAGGGGGGGGGGAGTCTGGCTCCGGACGTCTGCTGAGTGCGACTGTTTGCAGCAGTGGGTCCTATGAGGGAAGACCTAGACTCCACCCGCTGGAAACAGGCGCCCAAAACAGCCAAGATTCACTCCATGGGGGGGGAGGGGGGGTGGGGGGCCTGCGCCGATCGGCAAAAGAATGAATAAAAAACGATCACATAGGAGAGATGGCACGTCGTGGCATCAATAAGGGCGAGCCTCTGCTTGGGTGTTAAGTAATGGGGCAAAAGGATGCCCCCCGTCATCGTCTTTCGGGATGCATCGGGAGGCCCTGACTCCAAGAGACCGTCGTTTCGGCGAATTGGCGTTGCCGTGGCCGTCATGCCGTCTTTCGTTCCCGCCGTCATCAGGACCGCTGATTATGCGCCCACGATGTGGCCATATCAAGCGGTTCCTCGGGGGGAGTTAGCTGCTTTGGACCTTGCTATTCGCTACACCCTCGGTCCCGTCGTCTACGCGTCTGATAAAGAGGCGGTGGGGGGGTGGGGGGGGTCAATACTGTTTACATATGTATATACATATACATATAAACATAGATACATGTGTATGTATACGTCGACAAAAACCAATGGAAATCAACGAATTTACCCTCTTCGGGCTCTCTCGGGACGGCTCTCGAAGCTCTCTTGAGCTGTTTGGGGGGCCTCGTCGGGGCTCTTTTGGGGGCCTCTCAAGGGTCTGGGGTATGTTGGAGACTTCTGGGGGGTCCCAGAGTCCTCTCGGAGGTCTCTGGAGGCCTCCTGCTCCCTCTCTTGGGCTCATCTTGGGCCTGTTCTGGCGTGATCTGGAGCTGTCCTGGGCGCCTCTTCGGCAATCTTGGGGCCGTCTTGGGGTCTCTTGGGGCGGTCTTGGGGGCCTCGTCGGCCGTCTTGGAGCGTTGGAAGCATGAATTGGCGAGAAGGCCAAAAAACGATTTTAGGTTCTCTGGGCGCTCTCGGGAGGTTTCTTGAGGTCTCCTGGGAGCCTGGAGAACCACACGAAAACTATCCTGAGTTGGGAGCATCTTGGGCCGTTCTTTTACGTTCTGGCCGCTTCGTGGGATCGTCTTGGGCTGTCCTTGGGCGTTTGGGGGGCTCCCCGGGAGGTCAGGTCGGGAACCGTGGTACCGAGAGCGTTCCTCAGAAGTTCCGGGAAGGTGTGGGACCCCCTGGAGGAGGGGGCGCGCATTTGTTGAACTTGAACAAAAAAAAGATCTCTGAAATTCCTTAATAATTGTTCTGAATTCCTCGGTCTTGGAGCGTGGGAAGCGGGAAACCGTGAGAAGGCGAAAACGTCGACAAAAACAAATGGAAATCAACGATTTTACCCTCTTCGGGCTCTCTCGGGACGGCTCTCGAAGCTCTCTTGAGCTGTCTGGGGGGCCTCGTCGGGGCTCTTTTGCTGGCCTATCAAAGGTTTGGGGTGTGTTGGAGGCTTTTGGGGGGTCCCGGAGTCCTCTCGGAGGACTCTGGAGGCCTCCTGCTCCCGCTCCTGGGCACATCTTGGGTCTGCTCTGGGGTGATCTGGAGCTGTCCTGGGCGCCTCTTCGGCAATCTTGGGACCGTCTTGGCCCGTCTTGTGGTCGTCTTGGGGGCCTCCTGGGCGGTCTTTTTTTTTCATACGGACCTCAGAAAGCCACGTCGCGCAGAACGCCACGTGCTGAAAAGGAGCCGTGCCCAGCCCAGGCTTGGAAGCCTTGCGCACTCTGTCGAGAAATTTCAAAAACTGTCTTGGGATGAGAGGAGGCTTGTATCAGATTAACGGGTGCAGCACGCGCTGCCAAACCAGGCGGCCAGGGATGCCGCCCGGCGGCAAGGAGGCCAGGCAAAGGCGCGTTCTTGCTTACCGCGGACAGCTGGGCTACTACTAGGATGCACATGTCTTGGAACTCCTCACCGAGACTACCTTTGGAATAACTCATTCCTCAAAGATGGTCGGACTTTCGTCAAGTCTCCGGCCAAAACTGAAAAGGCGAGGGCATATGCCGTTGCGCTGCTCGCACATGCCATAATATAGAAACCTTGAGAAGGAGCTCTCCGTATTACCGACAAATAAACTGCAAGCGCTCATGAGGCGGATGGACAGTAACCATGACAGCATGTCCCCGGAATTGGCCGCCGCGTATCCAAAGTCGTTCTTTCCATCAGCAAGTGTGTCTGACAAGCTCGGGAGCGGTGTGCCCGGGGACACGGTATGGACGACGGCCCGTCGAGAGCCCTTCGCCTTCGCGATGATGTCAGCGTCGTCGGACATCACAAATACCAACGGGCGCTCCTTGCTCCGAGAGGCGTCTGTCAGCTGAGGCTTCTCCTTCATCATCTTAAGCGCCACGTCTAAATAGTCGTCGAAGCTCTTATTGAAGCCTCCAGCGATGGTATCGTGTGCTTTTATCCAGAATGGTGTGAGCTTGTCTCCGTGGCGGACATGGATCGCCGCGCAAGTGGGGCCTGCTCCCGACGCAGGCCACGCCTGGTTCTCGGAGCGCCACTCTGCTTCACGGCGGGCGATCTCATCTCGTGTCCGCGCATTCTGACGGAAGAATAGCATCTGCCACATAACATGCAAGTCGCCGCTACTGATGTGGTCAAATGGCTTGGACAACCGGTGACGGAACGGCACAGCCATATCAGTTTCGTCCACCAAATTCTTCCCCCAGTGTGCAGTGTCCATCGTGCAGCTGGACGTCGGCAAGAAAAAACATTCCTGCCTCGTCATGGGAGAGACTGTGCTCGCTGTCATGGAGGATACGTCCAACTCCCCGCAGAACGGACTGAAATACTCCGCTGGATGACTGTCCATACGTGGATCCGACCACACAGGCAGAAAAGCAGTTCGCTTCTTGGAATCCTTAACGTCGCTGACCCACCGCTCAAAGCTGAAATAGAAGTCTTCTTCCGTGGCCTGCCCGACCCAGCCGCTAGACGTCTTAATGGTGGCGGGGCACCTGTTGGGATCTTCCGTGTCGGCGGGGAACTGCAGCGAGTCCAGCACGCGGAAATGGCGGAGGGCCGTGTCCGACACGCGCAGCAGGACGCACTTCGATTTCCGCCGACTCCCGCTGCAGTGGCTGAACCTCCACTCCAGGCGCGGGATCAGGAAGTCGTCGATCGCCTCGCCTATCTTCTGCAGCGGCCCTGTGACCGCTACGCGCGTCGCGTTGCCCGCGGCGGCAGCGCGCAGCTGCTCGGCGTAGTCGGGCTCGCCGTCGTGGGGCGAGTCTCCCACCCTCAGCGCCGCGCAGCAGAGGTGGTGCTGCACCAGGAGCTGCCAGAGCAGAGCGCAAGAGAGACACGAGGCTGGATGTGCGATGGCCGCCATCAGGCGGTGCAGTGCACGGCGAGACAGAAATGTACGTGGTAGATGGTACGATCAGGAGTGCGGGCCCAACACCACCGTAAGGATGTGGGACTGAAGGCAACGGCGGTCTTGGGGGCCTCTTCGGCCGTCTTGGAGCGTTGGAAGCATGAAATGGCGAGAAGGCCAAAACCTAAAAACAACAACATGATATTACCCTGGCGGCGTACCCAACCCCTGCGCAATGCGGGGCATGAGTAGCTTGGGAGACGTTATACGGAGGTGATGACGTGACATGGGCGCATATACTTCTGCAAGCGGCATTCGTGAGGCTCGCAGCCCCCCAGGGATTGCGATGTCCCGCTCAGATCTGCCTGGTGCCTCGCTCCGCTGCGCTCACCAGCAGCCCTCGAAAGTGGCGACAATTTCGCAGATCGCGGCCCCCCAGGGACGGCGAGGTCCCGCTCAAGTCCGCGCGGTGCCTCACTCCGCAGGACCCACCAGCAGCCCTCGAAAGTGGCGACGGTTTCGCAGATCGCAGCCCCCCAAGGACGGCGAGGTCCCGCTCAGGCCCGCGCGGTGCCTCATTCCGCAGGAACCACCAGCAGCCATCGAACATTGCGACATTTCGCATATCGCAGCCCCCCAGGGACGGCGAGGTCCCTCTCAGGTCCGCGCGGTGCCTCTCTCCGCAGGACCCACCAGCAGCCCTCGAAAGTGGCGACGGTTTCGCAGATCGCAGCCCCCCAGGGACGGCGAGGTCCCGCTCAGGTCCGCGCGGTGCCTCACTCCGCAGGGAAAATGTTTCGCAGATCGCAGCCCCCCCGAGGTCCGCTCAGGTCCGCGCGGTGCCTCACTCCGCAGGACCCACCAGCAGCCCTCGAAAGTGGCGACAGTTTCGCAGATTGCAGCCCCCCCCAGGGACGGCGAGGTCCCGCTCAGGTCCGCGCGGTGCCTCACCCCGCAGAACCCACCAGCAACCCTCGAAAATGGCGACCGTTTCGCAGATCGCAGCCCCCCAGGGACGGCGAGGTCCCGCTCAGGTCCGCGCGGTGCCTCACCCCGCAGGACCCACCAGCAGCCCTCGAAAGTGGCGACAGTTTCGCAGATCGCAGCCCCCCAGGGACGGCGAGGTCCCGCTCAGGTCCGCGCGGTGCCTCACCCCGCAAACCCACCAGCCCTCGAAAGTGGCGACATTTCGCAGATCGCAGCCCCCCAGGGACGGCGAGGTCCTGCTCAGGTCCGCGCGGTGCCTCACCCCGCAGGACCCACCAGCAGCCCTCGAAAGTGGCGACAGTTTCACAGATCGCAGCCCCCCAAGGATGGCGAGGTCTAATTTGGGTCCGCGCGTGGCGTCACTGTGCTGGGCCCCCCAGCAGGCCTCGAAAGTGGCGACAGTTTCACAGATCGCAGCCCCCCAGGGATGGCGAGGTCCTGTTTGGGTCCGCGCGTGGCGTCACTGTGCTGGCCTCCCCAGCAGCCCTCGAAAGTGGCGACAGTTTCACAGATCGCAGCCCCCCAGGGATGGCGAGGTCCCGCTCATTGGGTCCGCGCGTGGCGTCAAGGTGCTGGACCCCCCAGCAGGCCTCGAAAGTGGCGACAGTTTCACAGATCGCAGCCCCCCAGGGATGGCGAGGTCCTGTTTGGATCCGCGGTGGGTACTCTCTCTGCTGGCCTCCCCAGCAGCCCATCGAACGTGGCGACAATTTCACAGATCGCAGCCCTCCAGGGATGGCGAGGTCCTGTTTGGATCCGCGGTGGGTACCCTCTCTGCTGGCCTCCCCAGCAGCCCTCGAAAGTGGCTACAATTTCACAGATCGCAGCCCCCCAAGTGTGAAAGAGGTTCGCGGGCGGATCGAGGGACTCTAGAGGCCCGGGGGCGCGCGGGGCGACAAGCGGGAGGCCCCCTTCCTCCCGGATGTTTTGCGCGCTTGAGCCACAACGGTGTCGGACGCAGTCAGCCTGGCACAGACAGGCTCCCCATTCACACTGAGCACAGTGTGAAGCCTATCAAACTCTGAGAACATTCTGGGGGACCTCATGGGACAGGGGGTCGAGTATTTAAAAGACAGCACCCCCTACTTTAGTGTCCCATGAGGTCCGTCACAGCAGCAGACAGGGAAGTGAGGCCTCTAAGATCCACGGACCACGCCCCTTCCCTCTCCCCCCATCGGTTCCGGGCCCGGGTCGGAGGGTACTGGGCCCGGCAGGCCAGGCGGACGCGAGGGCGACCTCCTCGGCGTCCTGGCGGGGCGCCCTCCTCCTCCTCTCTCCTCCTCAGCCTCCTCTGCGTCCTCGCCAGCCTCAGTGGGCTGGGACTCTCTCTGTAGAACCTGTCGTGATGCATTCCGAGTCCGGGATTTCAGCGACAGGTTGAGAGACCGCTCGTCGAGCGATCCAGACTCGTCCGTTTGCGCCAGCATCCCCTTGTGCATGAGATCAGTCAGAGCAAAATTCCCTCGTCCTGGGTCGACCTTGGTCAGAGCGTCAGCAGGCATCTTGCAGTGTGGAACCCACCTCACCACCGTCCCCTCGGCTGTCATCGAGTCCCGGACTATCGCCATCTCGATGGCGTTGCGGCGGTCTGCTTTGGCACCCCCGCAGTTCTTGGACAGCGTATCGAAGAGGGACTTCGCATCGACTACGGCGACGCCCTCGGAAGCCTCGGCGATGGCACACTCGTCGACGAGCGCGACTGCAAAGGGGCAGGACGTCCCTGAGTTCCACCATTCAGGCCCCCTCACATCTCCATACAAGGCATCCCGGAAAACGAGCCACAACCACTGTCCCTCGGCGAGAGCCCCGAAAAGACTCAACGTCTCCGCCGATAAAGTGGACGAGACGACTCGACGGAGCCTCTGGCTTCTCCAAGACAAGAGCGAAACACGAGAGCGACGATTGTCTTTGATCCTGGAGTCCCCTAGCATCACGAGCCAGCCTCCTTGAGCACCGTCTCTTTTAGCGGACCCGGGGCCCCCCGCATCACTGCACGTGACCATGGTCACGGCACTCAGGTCCAAGGGCCAAATCGTCAGACAGGAGCTGGCCGTGCACCGGAGGTGGCGAGCTACCTTGTTAGCCATGAGAGCCGAGGCTATCTTGACCTGTGGGCATTCGGCGCTCAGCATCGAGGCGGATCCGGACACGTCGGGACGAGACTGGCGGGCCGCCCAGAGAATCTTCGCCACTAGGCCGCGATAGTCTCGGAGCTCTCCTGCATCGAGCAACTCCTCGGGACATTTAACACGCTCCTTGTCGAGTCTCATGGGACGGACCTGCTCCAGGATATATCTTTCCTGGTCGACGAGAATGCGCCCATCAGGCTGCTGGCGGATCCTTCTCCCTGCGTATTCGGCCTCACCGACCTGCCATTTACCGAAATGGAAACGGCTGGTCAGCAACTTCTTGAGCTCACTCTCATATGAGGGTTCGCAAGAAACAATGAGATCGTCGACCTCAATCACTACAAGAGCCTTGAGGCTACCCGAGGCATGGTGGGCGATCCAGAGACACGGCTCCAAAAGGGAGCGCCGAAACCCCAGGGACTTAAGGTGATTGGTCAAGGTCTGATGCCAGCGAATCGGAGCATCGTTCAGGCCGTAGACTGGGGCCACAAGTTCCAGGAGGGCCCCCCGGGGGACGTCAACGCCATCGCATGGCTCGACATATATCTTCCCGTTGGGGCGGGAGAGGGGGTCCGCCTGGCAAAAGGCGTTCTTACAGTCCGCTATCTGAAGCCTCCACTTCTTGCCAGCTACCAGCTGGAGAGCAACCAACGCAGCCTCCTCCTGAGGAGTCGGAGCGTACACGTGCAGAGACTCCGCGTCGGGATCGGCATGCCCCCTCACGCACCAGCGTGACTTTGCCTTCTTGCTTGCTCCCGTGCCTTCCTGCGGCTTCCACCGACGGACCATGCGCGACGAGAGAATCCTGGATGGATCCCTCCGACGGACCAGGGCCGCCTCCGCGGGGGAGACCACTCTCACTGCCTTAGTAGCGGTCATGGCGGACCACTCGGCCGCGTCCGCCTTCTTGAACTCCTCTCGCTCTTCTGGACTGAGCTTGTTCCAGACGACCTCTTGGCCCCGCCGGGGCCCACCTGGAGTCGGTCCGGCCGTGGCGAACGAGGATGTCGGACTGTAGTCTTCGTCCCCGGGACCTGGGCCCCAGGTCGCCAACTCCTGGAGGAGCATCCGGTCCTGTTCGTCAGCCCCGTCCTCTTCCCTGAGCTCGATCAGGTCCTCCTCCTCTCCGCAAGCCAGTTCGATCAAAGTGCCGGGATCGCCTCTGGCGTCGTCCGCCGAACTCCTCTGGGCCTCCCACTCCTGAACCCTCTCGGCCACGGAGGCCGACTCTCGGAGCTCCACCGGCGTCACCCCGGGACCCGCGGGAATAACGTGGATGCGAGAGAGCAGCCCGCGCATGGGCGATCCGGCTCGCCGAGTGTGTCGAGACGTCGACCCCTCAGCTGGTCGGGCGGCAGCTCGCGGAGACCTCTCCCTGACCCTTTCTGGCTCGACTGAAGCTCCTGGATTCGAATCGCCTCGACGGCCGTCGATGGTCCTGACCAGACTGGGGGCGGAAGAGGCAGCGGGAGACGGGCTGGGACTGCCCTCTACTCGGGGTCGAGCTCTAGGTGGTTCCTCCAGGCCGGGAGGGGGATGCAGCTTATCCTCTTTGTCCTCGAGGGGTTCGGTCCTGACAAATCGACCCAGGTCAGGAGCAGGGCGGGGGGGGTACGGGGCATCCAGAGCTCGGCGCAGGTCCTCGGGAAGCTCGCTCTGGTCTCCTAAGCTCACGACCTCGCTGATCTCAGGAATAGTCGGAAGAGGAGACCTGGCTTCCACCGAGGCTTCCGCGGGCTCCGAGGGACGAGCCGACGCCGTTCCGCCTCCTCCGCCAGTAGTGACCGGTCCTCCTGCTTCGGCCCCGATCGTGTCCTGACCGTCCCAGGCCTCGTCGGGGGGGGGGCCCCCGGATTCGACGTCCAGAGCCCCCACCTTCTTGCCTGGGTTGCGAACTTCAGCTTGAAGGGCCCGAAACTCCGGGGTGTCCACGAGTTCGGCTCCGAGCGCCTCGGCACGCGTCGCCTCTCGGACCTGCTCGACCGAGCACTTCCATAGCTTGGTTCGCATCGCGATCCAAACTGTGGTTCCCTTGTGAAAGACGACGGCCCCGGGGCCGACCCACCGGTCGCGTTGCAGCGCGTGAGTTTTCACCCCCGTCACCTTGCGCCACGCGTACACCCACTGACCGGGCAGAAAGACGCGATCGACATGGGGTCGAGATCTCCGGGCCTCGGCGA